GAAGAAATCCCAGGTGCACTTCGAGTAAGGCACCAAGGAAGCTTCCTCGGCTCCGTGCGCCAGAGCGCCATGATTCGTGCGTCCTACACGCATGGGTTATGTTGCAAGAGGCAGCCGATTCAGCAGATCCTGTAGGGCAGCCGCATCACGATGCTGTACAACACTCTTACGACTAGAGCGGTTTGGCTTGATGCGAATAGTCACACGAATGGTTGTAATGACGTGACACGACTGATAATGCAGACGTGGCTGCCTTCTTGGTACAGCCAAGATGACGCATACTGCCGATATTGCCAGTTTCAACACAACAAATACTCCGAGTGCTTCTAGCACTACTAGTCAGCACTGCTAGCATGAGTGATTCGATAAGTCTTACAAGTACTACACACAATTCCACCCTTTGACCCAAGAAAGCACTAATATATACTTCGGACAGTGCAAATACTAATAACATATTGGTCAGAGCAGCTATAATACTAAGTTCACGGGTGCTGCTGACCTTATTCATCGATCAATCGAATTACGATAGCTGGGGTGGTAATAGTAATCCTGCAAGCATTGCTGGCACGAAAATTGTTACGAATGTTACAAGTACTAGGTGATTACTATACTAACTACTTCTCGTATAACAAGATTGCTAGACTTGTGAACATAGCCGCCCAAGACATGTTTCATAGGTGTACTTGTGCATCTACTATGGCTGCTGACAACAACATCTTGAAAATTGTAAACGTCGGTAGTACTACTTACTAGTACTGCTAGTAATGCTGCAACAACTGTGTTGATGCATCATGTAACTGTTAGCGTTAGCGATATTAGCAACCATAGCAGCATTGCCCGTTGTACATCAATAATACTCTCAGCGTTGCTAAACTCGCCACTAATTGCAACACTACTCATACACTACCAGTACTATGCATGTTACTGGTAGCACAAATACCTCATGATGAACATTCTTTCCTAGTGACAACTTCCCCCTTTGTTGAGGTTGGTGCTCTTCACCGCAAGAACATCACGACTTCCGTCAAACACAGAAGTTTTACTAATATGGCTTACATCGCGAAAATTGTCCGTCCCCTTTGCATACTGCAGTCTAATATTTGTCAGAATTTGGAAGGAAACATCCGAGGGGAGTATCTACACACACACACACATATATATATATCTGTATTTATTCATTTATTGGTTTATATTTGCGTGTATATATATATATGCTAAGCAATTGCAGAGCTCGTGCTTGGAAATGGGAACGTTGCGCATCTAAGTAGCTCCGACGAATCCAGATCTTGAGCTTGGCGTGCTCCGCTTGCCTTGGCATGTTCGGGCGGAGCAGAGAAACCTAAAGCTTGCAATTGAGATGCAGGGCTCTGGATCGGCTCCAGCATGTTGTACGAAAGTTTTGTCAAAAGCGTTGGTAATCATCTAACCTCATCTAGCGTGTGTGCCTGACTGCACGTCTCCCATAATATCCCTTGTAAGCATCTCCCCCGAATATGCAGAAAGGGCACGCGTCTTGACTGGAAGGATTCCAGAAGGCCCATGAAAAGGAGATATTCAGACACATGAAGTGTGCCCGTAAGATGGCCCCAACAATCCAGCACTTGACCCGATGATTTCAAAGACAGAATCACCCTGCGGCCATGAGAAGCAACAGGCTGGATGCCCTCAGGAACCGCATTTCACAAGACACCCTTCCCTGGAAAACCGCTCAGAGTGGGAACCCTGCCAAGGCTTGCAGCTGGGACGGACGAAGACAACAATTCAATTTAGCTGCTCTTCCCTCTCGTAAGATAATCCGGCGTCACGGTCCCGGAATAGCGATAGTCAGGAGTGATGAAGCCAGCCAGGTCATCGACATCAATGTACGAAGAAGACGACGTGCATGACTTGGTGGATGCTGCTCGTCCGAAGGCCTGATCACTGTCCTGTGTTTGGCATCTCATGAATTAAAGAGCTTGAGGATTAGAGGATGCTTGAACCCAAATCTCACTTACAAGTGATATGGTCCGCGTCTACCTTCAACGTCTGCCGTCCTCCATCTGAAAGTCCACAAGATCTGGAACTCTCTCAGGAAGAAAGAAAAGCGGGGGCGATCATCGTATCCATCAAGACCGTCGGATTGGAGACTTAACTTTGGTGTTTTGGCTTGTGGAAATGATCTGCGGAATCCTTGATGGTGACATAGGGAACGATTACCAGCCTCAGCACTTCGTGCTTCGGGCTTTAGGGCTCGAGCCGCAACGCTGTGCTCTCTCTTTTGTCCGCTAGGCCACTGTTTTTTCTTTTATGCTGGCTCCTGTGACTCCCGTGAGGGCTAATCTCCTGGTATGCTCGTGACAGTCGTCTCGGAGGCTGAAATCGTCGCTTTTAGAGCCAACAAATTGGATTGGACTCCTGTTGGTGTCGCGTGTTCCTCGTATCTGCACGGGTCACCAGCACAAGCCACGGGGAGGGCGCAGCCGAGCTGCGTTGAAATCATCTTCCGCGTGAGTTCCCCAGTGCGTGCACCATGCCGGGCAGGCGTCTCGCTGGAGGTGGGCGGGGGATGCGGGGGCGGGTCCAGACCAAAGGGTGGGCGGGGAGGGCCCCCGATCCTTTATACCCAGAGGATCCCAGAGGCATGGGGCCTGCGCGGAACCCCCTGAGCAAAACTTAAAGAACATTCGATTTAGGGTTGTCGGCGAATCGGCCACGGACCGAGAATGAGGCTGATACCTCAAGAGACAATTCATGGAAGGCTCTCAGCAAGGCATAAACGCATTCATTGGCGCCCTTCTTCGCTCCGTCTGTAGTTGGCTTACTTTTTGCATTGATACCGGTCAGGGTCGAAGGTCTGCTGAAGGGGACCTATTCACGAAAAATCGACGTCTCGTGTGGCACAGAAGCAAACAATTCATCACGAAACCCAAAGCCAGAAATTGAACCCCATGCCTGAGCTCAAACCTTGAAAAACTCCACCACGAAACCGCACACCCTGCACCACCTCAACTCTTAATTTAGACTCATCGACCGTAAACCTGCAAACCTTGTGTTCGCTGGGCCCGCAGCAAATGCTTGGATCGAGGGTTCAGTTCGGAGACCACAACTTGTGTCTCGTTTGTGCCTGTTAGGTGTGTTTCGATCAGGATTCTTGGTGTAGGTAGGGCTGAGGGTGCAGTGTTTACGCACCAGATTGGGCTTTAGAGTTGAAGATGGTTGGGTTTAAGTTATGTGGTTACACTCGCCCAGATCAGCATGGACACCTATGAAGAGCAAAACAGAGGACTACTGGGTACTGCTCAGCGTTTAGGGCAGGATAGCCTTCCGCCCTCAATCCTACAAATCTTTACGAGAACGACGAAAAGGTTTGAGACTTTAAACTTTAAACATGATACTCCGTGCAGCCCTGAACTTGCAAGGGACACCCTTTAACCTACCCCGAACAACAACACGAAGCGCTGACCCCAAAACCCCAAACCCTCGGCTGGCTAACTCCGCACCCTCGCAATTTTGGTCCCTCGCGGAGCGATGACATTGCCGTCTCCGGCCGGGCGACTAGTGTTTTCTTTAAGGGTCCAGGATTTAGGGTTACGCATTTAAGTCCTAGCAGTGGTCAGGGCCAAGCGCCGCTCCTGGGATTTGTAAGGTTTCACAACATGAACAGTAATCTGGACTTAAGTACGGTCCATCCTCAACCCGTAAACCTCCTACAAGCCGGACTCCAAGTTCCTAAACCTTCTTGATCCTTCTAAACCCTCCTCCCTGCAAAAAAGAACTGACGGTCTGGGGCTTGGGGTTTAGAACGGTTTGGAAGTTCAGGCAGTTTAGAGTTGCAGGGTTTTGTGGGGTTGATGGTTTGAGAGCTGAGGGTTTAGGATCCGCGCAACCCGGACCCCATTCACCCTCAGCCAGCGAAGCGTGACAATGGGAACATTTGCTTCTCTCTTGGCAGTCCTACGGCTCAGTTTGGTGTCCTTGAGGGGTGATGGGGGCTGGGCTCAGAGTTTGGGCCTCGGGGTTTCGGGTCTTAGGGTGTGGATGCATGGCGCGGTGCCGGCATCAAATAAAGCACGCAAAGAAACGTTCACGGAATGCAAAGTGAGACGAGATGCAGAGGTTCGACCCGCACTGCCCTAGCAGTTTAAGGTGTCAAGCATACGCCGCAGTAACGATGAAATGAAGCTTCTTTCAACAAGCGTCGGCCTTAACATTCCCAGCCATGGCCGGGAGCATAAATCCTAAAGCCTAGAGCCTGAAGCCCAAGGCTCTTGGGTCTCAGGCAGAGCTGAAAGGGCGAGGGTTCACTAAAAGCTCAGACCCTGCGTTCGAAGGCTTCGGGTTCAAACAAAAATCGGAAAGCGTTGGCTTAGAGGAGGGTAGTGCTGGGGCAGGGAGTACAGACGACGGTTTGTGGTCTACCATGAGTTGCTGTGCGTGGGGCCAAAACTAAACGAATGATTAAGCAAGTCTTTATCGCAATAGATAGTGACTGTACTTAATTCCGCCTTCAAACGACGCATGAACTAACCCTGTAAAATCATACGCCAGGATACCCCAAAAGAAAGTACCACAAACACTTGCTTCTGTGCACGAACATTCAATTCGGATTCGGCAAAGGGATTTAAATTTAAAGCTTGGGATGTGCGGCTTCGGGGTGTATGTTTTGGGAGTCAATGTTCAGTTCAGCTCCAGACCCAGCCGTTGAAAAGGAACCCCTTCAAGTACCAAAGATTGTGGAACTTCATTCCTGGCAACCCTGTACCACATTAAACTTAATCACCGCAGCACGAAACCTGAAACACTAAGCCCGAAACCAGCTTCAGCTCGAACGTAAACATTAATAATCACCAAACCCGGGACCCCTAAACTTCAAACTCTTGCAATAAAAGCCGTATGTTGGCCCTTGAAACCTTCGGCAATCTTCCTGAATAAGATCCTCTGAACCTACACGGTTACATGTGAATATCCAAGTCACCTACATAGCTCAAATGCAGAAGCCAAAACCCTAAACTGCAGGCTGTTCAATGGCCGATGTCCACGCACCGATTGGGAAAGTTCCAGACCGCATCTTCGCAGACGAAGGCCGCAACCAACTTCGCAAGGCCTTCGTTTTCAAGCCAGGTTTCTTAATATTGGTTTATGTCTCTAGATCCTACAATCCAACCAAACGAACCCATTGTAAGGTTTGGGGTTTCGGGCTGCGCTCAAGGTAATTAATGCCTAGAGCATACAAAACTGGCTTCGCGGCTCCGAGAGCAAACAAAAACATTTTGCCGGTTCACATCACGAAAGCGCCGCTCTGCTGGAGCGTAAACTCTTTCGGCAACTCTGAACCCTAGCTCCCCTACACACACAGAGCCCAAGTTGAGACTCTGGGCAAAAGGAAGTTTGGTCGTTCAAGCGTGTTGTTGAAATCGCAGAGGCAGGGGCCCTAGGCCCCACAAGGCCATGTAATATAAGATCTTCATGAGCTTGTAGCAACGTTCACCCAGAGCTGCTATAGTTTTGGCAGAATACATCACTTAACCTGTGGAGCCAGCAACCCTAAACCCAAACCCTAAACTGCTCCGATACCGTGTTTTAGAACGAGTTGATGCTACTTTCAGCTTTCGCATGCTCAGCCATGACAGCCACGGCAGGACAAGAAGGATTACCATTGGAGTGGTTTTAGCCCCTTGCGCAGTCTAAATTAGCGCTTCGGCTGCTAAGAGATCCTTGAGGATGCAATGAGAAGGACATGGAAGCAGGCACAGGTAAGCAAGAACTCATGGCCGCCAAGGAGCTGTGAGCTTGAATTGCCATGCAAATGAAGGCAATAAGCCACACCAGGGCGGTCAGCCTAAAAGAGAAGCTTTAACGCTCGGGCGGAAGGGCTGTAGGACTCAGACTTGAGGGGTTGCTGTGTCTAGTGCAAAAGCCGACAACCTCTGGGGATCAAGCGTGCACCCTAAACCCTGAAACTCAACTATCTAACATCTCTGGCTTCCTCGTTGCTGTCTAGATTGCTGCCCTTCAAGAGAAATGTCACTTCATGCCTCCTGCTGTGAAGGGATTCGACGTTTGAGGATGTGCGGATCTAGGGAAAGTTACATCGGACAGTGGCAGCACACTCTGTGACTGCTTCTGTTTGCCTCTGCGAAATTTGCATCAACAGAATAGAACATTGCCCCCTAAAGCCAGTTCAGCATGTCCGCCTTGCCAATAGCATTGAAGGTTTTCAAAGGTCTCAGACGTTTGGTTCGAGGTGTGCTCGAGTCTAGCATTTGGAGTTCTTGGTCTTGGTAGCCGGGGTCTCGAAGATAGTTGGGAACATCTGGAGCTAGGGTCTCAAGGGGGCGAGCTGCCGGGGATGCGCCCTAGACTCCGAATTCTCAGATCCTGCGCCGATGAAACCCCACTCGAAGGCCTGAACTCTTCAACCCCCCCAAACTCTGGAGTGCTTCTAAAACCCAACCCGAGCAAGAACCCTGAACTGCAGAATCACAAACCCCCATAGCTCCTGCAAGCTGGTTTGAAGGATAAGAATCACGAAACGCTACGCCCTAATCAGTTGTGCTTGAGGGATGGGTTTCACGAAAGCCCGCAGAAAAATACATGTGCAACTCTCTGTGGAACTGAAGAACTGCTTCCAAAACCGTCGCCCTGCCGCAGCTGCCAAGGGCCCCAGGGTGGCGACTCAGCCCGAACAGAAGCAAAATCCTGAAGACCTAAACCCCAAGCAGCTCTGCATGAGAGCTTAGAGGAACCTTGCAAGAAAACTCCTACACTGAACCCTAAACCTGCCGAACCCCAAAACCCCAAAACTTACCCGAAGCCTGTCGAAACCGTTTTCGAGCCAGCCCAATGCCTCATCAATTGAAGACCTCAACCCAAAACCGGGCTCTTCGCCTGAAGATCTCACTTGACTCCTCCTTTGACTCTCTGCTTGCCCGCACGGTCTCCCGCACTCCTTCCAATTCCTCCTGGGGGAAGGGTACAGGGCTCCACAAACATCTTCGTATGCTTGTGCCGTTCCCGCTTCGACTAGCCTCAGTTGAGACTGAGAGTTCTGTACTGGAAACCTCTGCGAAATCCTTGAGTCTTTAACCTCCACCGTATCGTATCGCATTTTTTGTATGGCACACTCACCACAACTGCATTTTTCTGACACCGTGCGAGTCCAGTAAAACCAAACCCTAATCACACCCTCAAAGTCCAACCTCCGTAAACCGCACTTCGCACCCGCAAAGCATTGGGGCATTGGGATGGTTGGAAAAGCCAGAAGGTTTAAGCTTGAAGGCTTCGGGCGCTGCTTGCACGTGGGATTTGGAGTAAAGGGCGTAAGGTGTAAGGTTACCGGTTTAAGCCTTATGGTTTCAGGTTTGGAATGCTTATGGTTAGGGCTTAGGGTGCAAGGCCCAGGACTTAGGTGGTAAGGGTTCGGGAAGGGAAGATCTCTGCCATCTTCTTTTCAGGGTTCCGGTATTGATAGAAGCGGCTCAATCATTGAAAAATGCTCTTTCGTCATAGGCCTAATCTCAGGCAGGGGTGGCAGAACATGCCATGCGCGTCCATGCGTTTTAGTGCTTGGAGCGCCGGTACCTTGATCAAGACAGTCTTATCGCCCTGTACCCGAAACATCTAAACCCCAAATTTGAGAATGCGACGGTGCGAGGTCGAGGGAGTCACCGATTGCTCTGTTTAAACAACGACAACAGTACCGAAGTCTTCTGCCTAAACGATGGAACCTGAACTTACACACCGTCCACCCGGAACTCTCAACACCACACACATGTGCTCAGGATCTGCTCTTTCTGCTATCTAAACCCTAAACATTGAGCCGAGCGGGTCCCTTTGACAAGCAACCACTCCTGTGCCGACCTGATCGCCAAAAGACCCGCCACGATCACCTGCAGCGCCTGTGCTCGGATAAGCCAGGATCTGCCCTGATCTGGGGTTTAAAGGACTTGCAAGTGTTTAAAAGCTCCTTTGTATTTACAAAAAGAAACAATTCTGATTCCTCATTGCACCCAGCCAAAAAAGGCAAAGGACGAAGTGACTAAGTGTGTTCGGTACCCCCACAATAGCTTCAGTAGCTTGGAGAATTGGTTGCGCATTTATTTCAGGCTCCGTCCTGGCGCCGTGTGCAGTTTAGGAAACCTGACAAGACTTGGCCGTGGGCAACAAATTACTCAACCTCACCATCGATCTGTGTACCCCAGACTCAACCCTTTGCTGGAGCCTGCAGGGACGTCAGGTGGGCCAGGGTGATGCACAAGAAGCCCTCCTGGTGTGCCGGTAGTTCGAGACCATGCAGCAAAAAATGTGGCTAAAACCGGCGGCCAAGGGAAGAAACGCATGTAAATTCTAATAGCAGTTCTGGCAGTAGTAGAACAACGATGAGACTAAAGTTGCGGTGTCGAGGTTGACCCCTACAGCTTTGGGCCTGAGTATGTAGCAGCTTCTGTTTCAGGGATGTAGAGATCAGAAGATCCCCAGACCTATAGACTGAGGATTCCTACGTCATTGGAGGAGACCAGACTCGGAACAATCGCTCAACAAAAGACCTTGTTCCGGCATCAATGCCAAGAGAGTGTCCTACTGCAATAAACTCTCGAGCCCTCGGGTTCCTGGTCGAGGGTTCCATCGCTATCGAAGCGCCCAAGGGCAAAGATGGTCGTCTGCACCTGGTCGGGGTTTCGGGCTAAGCTCTTACTTAGTGTCTTCAGGGCTGAAGGCTCCGGTTCAGTGCTTAAGGTCGGCAAGCTGTCTTGGGATTCTTGGGAAGGCCTGCCCTGTATGGCAAAACCACACAGTGACTGGACAAGCGTCAGGGCCACAGCTAGGGTTTAAGACTTGGGACAGAGGACTGTTTAAGATGTCGGACATAAGGCTTGCCGAGGCTTGTCCGGCCCTCAGAAAATCAAGGCTCCCCGGAGGCCTCTAGACAAGGCAGCACATTGCCAACAACCTCAAGCCTGGTTGGACCTCGGTTCGGGTCAAGCCTCTTCACAGGGCCAGCGGTGCACTTGTCAGCTGTGCGGTTGAAGGCTGTACACACACCTACATGCCCTTATCTTTCCGTCCACATTCGATCGGCGCGTGCGAGGCGACTTGCGGACCTTACTTAAACTTCAAGCATGCGACTTGAAAGCCGAAACCCCTAAGCCTTAAGCTCTCCTGATCCCAAGTCCGATATCGGCCTCAATTTTTGTGCAGTTCGTGCACAGGTTTACAAGCACAATTCGCAGGAGGAGGTGTCGAAGCTCCATCTTCAAGATGTGTAAAAACCTCGGCTTTACGCTTGTAGAGCTTGTTGTTCGTCGGGGTTTTGCTTGGCCTGTGCATGGGGTTTGGAGCTAACAGCTGAGTCGGCAAGATGTGGAGAAGCTTGTGCTTTCGAGCTTTCGGGCTTGGGTTCTGCAGTCACTTAAGGCTTAGTTTGGCTTCAGGTTCAACCCCAAACTTAGACCCAACAGCAACTCCTAACCGTGACCCTCGAAACAGCTCCTCCTTCAAAAACCGTGAATCTGCTGCATGCCATGCTGCCTGCGACATCAGAAACCGAATCCTTTTAAAGCTTGAAGGTAAGAACCTGATATTGTTACCACATCGTTGGCGAAAACACTGAACAAACCCTTGTCAAACCTTCTGAGACAGCTTAAAGCTCCTTAGACACTTACGAACAATTACGGAAACTCCTGGGGCTGAGCTGGGCCAAAACCCTCGGGTTTCACGTGTGCCGCTTCCATAACATTCTGGATGCCAAATCCCAAGCAACCCAAGGAGGTTGGGTGCTTTCCGTCAGAACAACATGAATGCACACAACCTGCCAACGCCGAACGACAACTATGCGTGCACCAAGTTTACACATACTGTGTTATATTATGTAACACTGTCGACTGTTGTCTCATATGTTGTGTTGCACTATCGCCTGGTCCATCACACTAGATGTTCCTGTGGTCTTGTGGTTATGCTACACGAGTATATGATATGTAGCACTCTCATATACTGTGCAATGCTTGGCTATACTACGTGCTGCTAAACACGAACGTAATGTGCGGTCTTATATGATATTGATATTGTATTCTGTACAGTACTGTTCTATACTGTTGTATGCTGCTTGCCATCAAAATATACAAGTCGACAATACTAGATTCTGCTACAATATCTGGAGTCTGCTATAGTCTTTTGCATTATCCGATGCGATACTATACTACCCTTTACTAGACTGTACGATGCTTTGCTATACCACGCTACATTACTCTGCAACAGACAATACTGCACAACGCTGTGTACTGTCATGAACACTATATGCAACTGTGCAGTACTAAACAAAACTACATAACACTACACAGTACTATAGAAGACGTAATAAGACCATATAACAGTGTACAACAGCATGTAAGCCTTTATACGACGATGATCAACCGCATGCTACTAGAAAGCTGAGCATTGCCATAGCTATGTTTCATTGCGTAGGTTGCAGTGTACCCATAACCATACATTTGTATATGTGCAAATAGGTATATGTTTACACATATACATCTACACATATACATGTGCATGCAGACTATGTTATGTTATGTTATGGTATGGCATGTTAATGCTATGCCATGCTATCTTAAATGCTAGGTATTTTCCGATGTGATGCTATATTCTGTTGTTTGTGCATACACTACATAGTCTTGTCTTATCTTATGTAGATGTGTTATTTTTTGCATGATTATGCCCGAGCTATATTGTGTTCGGCCGTATTAAGTTATGTCGTGCAACACTGTCTTCTGCTATGAAATACCGCGGAGTAGCATTTTTTAGTTATACTTGGCTATGTTGCCACAGTGTTATGTTGTGTAGATATTCTGCTAAAACAAACCTAATGTACGAATGCTTTCGATAGCATACCATACATTGTTACATTATGTTCAAGATCATATTGTTTGGTAGCTTTTGCTCTTGTATTTGTTGAAGTCGGTTATGCTCTGCTCTTGCACTGGATTATATTACATACACTCGGCTAATTTAGCTATGCTATACTATGCTAGATGAAAGCATCGTATAGCACATTATATCGTATTGAACTGTATTGAAAAGATGTACAATGCTGTGTTAAACCGTCTAGTAAGCTATGAAATAGTACGAGTGAGGTTTATTATGTCAGATGTTATTGGATTAAGCTTCACTAGATTAGGTTAGCTTCTGTTACACTATACTGTACTCCATGTGGTTTTCGTCGTACAACATAGTATGTCAGGGTGTTCGGTAGGTTTCTGTTACACATGGAGTTCTGATAAACAGGGGTGTGCCGTCAGACCAGGGTGTTCCAAAGCTCTGATTTCTATCGGCGTTGCTTGGCTTGGCTTGGCTAGGCTTGATTTGGCGTAGGTTCTTGGGGTTCCCAGCATTCAATGTGAACCCACTGAAAACAATTAAAGGTACTACAGCGATGTACATCTCTTATACTCGTACTAAATTCGCTCAATCGCATTATCTTGTACTATTTGTCATGATTACATACCATGCCTCTCATGTCGTGTTGTACTTTCTCTCTCTCTCTCTATATATATATACACATACATATACATATACATATATAAATACTTATATACACTGTCAGTCGCATATGTTTGTGCACATATTCAGAGGCAGCGAGAAAACAAGGCAATGATAACAACAAGGAAACAGCCGAGCAAAACCATCATTGACATAATTAATGTTTAGCACACGGTCACCCCAGAAGAGCCCTTAGGGCCTAGACCCACAGCGACGATTCCTAGCCAAAAACTGAGCTTCTGGTTCAGGATCTTGAGATAGTCAGGGTTTAGAGTTTGGGGGCCAAAGGCTTGGAAGGGAGGGGTGAAGCCCGTAGTCCCGTCTGGAGTAAACCAATTTGTCCGTCAGACAAGCGGCCGCGTGTCATTTGGCGGCTGAGCTTGAAGCTCCTGATGGGCGCGCTTGACGCTCAGCCTGGAAGTTCAGGGTCTAGGGAACAGCCGAGTATTGAAATCCGAAAAAACTCCAACCCTACCTGCCACTATGACCCAGGTCGAGGCTTATTCGAATCTAGAGCTGTTAAGATTTCCAATTCAATGATTCTGGCTTCCGGTGGAAGATCTGACGGACTGGCGAGGTATTCGGAGAATCTGCTGCAGTAGCTCGGGGGTCTAGGCTGCCGGCGTGCTCCTGATATACAACAGCTAGTTACTGCGGAAACACCCGCACTAGCGCGCAGGAAGAAAAGCGTGCATGTGCCCTTGTTCACACTCCAGCCATGTCCAATCGCATCCACAGCCACAGCTGGTGCCAACATGACTGCACAGCTTTTTCACATGTTTGCACCGCTGTTGTCACATTAAAGTCCTTTGCATGTTCCGCAACCTAAACGCTAGCTGCTAGCCCCGAAAACCTTTGAACTAGGAAGCCTGACCCTGATCCCTGCAGCATGAACGCCATGAACTCCAACGGCAAACACCCAATCGACAGACCCCAAATCCCCGAACCTGAAGACCCAGGACCTAAACCATGAAGTGACGGTTTCCGGCAGGGCCAGAGTCGTGGGCTTCGGGCTGCAGGCCCCTGCATGGTTTACGGTTCTACGCACAGCTTCCGTAGCATCATCCAAGAAACCTGAGATGTCCAGCAGAAACCATGGCCATTCTGTTTGAGCTCGCCAAGTCTTTCCTGTGGCTGCGGGTTCAAGGAACCATATCGTACCGCGAGTCCGCGAGCCCTTGCCCAAACGCCCAAAGCCTAAACCCAACACCGATTCAGTGTGTGGTTTTGGCTAGTGCTTTCGGGTTTCGGGTCCCGGGTTACAGGCCCATGCATAATGGGCTAGGCATGTGGGGTTTCGACTTGGGTTTGAGTGTTTCCTTGCTGGTATCCGAATATGGCTGTTTATTCTGCTGGGCTGCGTCAGGCTTTGGGTAAAGGTTTACCTCAGCCTTCAACCCGTAAAGTGACGCGACACTGACACCGCGACCCGCAAAATCGCAAACATCCAGACCTGCACGCCCAAAACTCTACATAAGCCTTAAACCGGTCAATTGCAAACGAGCTACACCCGGAATGCCTGTTTCTTAAGTTCTGACACCCTAGACCGCGTCACACAAACCTTCATTGGAACTGCTGCAACCCCTACAGCCTGCAATCTAAACGCTAAGTTGAAGCGCTGTTCAGCTATTGCCCTACACCTTACAGGAAAACCTTCAAAACCTGCCGCATCCGTCAATCTCAAAACCTACACTCTGGGGCTAAATCAAGCAAACTTTAACGCTGCATACCACTGCATTACATGCAACCGCTGCTCCGTGCAGTTGCCCAAAACCTACAACCTGGCACCTTGAAGACCTTCGATACTTATACCGGTGCCAAAGTCCGATCGCTTTACCTACAAGCCAAACCCTGCTTTAAACCCGCTGCACCCCACAAGCCCCACAACCTGCACCTTGCAACCTCCTCAAACCCTTAAAGCCTGCGTCCAGACAGACTTAAAAATCTGCAAGCTAAACCCTAAATCAGGCTACACCCCTCCGCCCTAATTACAACCCAAACCATATAACCTCAATCCTCAGCTTACACAGATACAAGCCAAACCTTACGACCTAGACCACAACCTGCACCTGAATTAAACAGCTACACCTGCAAATTTAAACCCAAACTACGCCGGTACATGCTAAACCCGAAGTCCAAAACCAGACCATTGCATGTGCTACCGAAGACCCATCATTGACACGCTACACCTAAACCATGTCTGACCCTAATAAATTCACAGCGAACCACCTACAAGCTAAACCGCACTTAGCCTAAACCCTACCACACCTTCAACCTGTAAGTTAAACCTCTGTTGAAGCGCTACACTCCTAAACGCTAGAATCTGCACCCAAATGAACGACAACCGCTTAAACCTAGCAACCGAAAATTAAACCACCCTGCTGCACATACAACCTAAGCCCTGAATACTACTGCTGATTTACACAACCCTACACCCCCACAACCTGCACCCTAGAACCTCGACATCTTTCAACCCCACAAACGAACTAAACCCGATATCAAAGCGCGCTACACCCAAAAACCCTACAACCTATAACCTATACCCTAGATCAAGCTGCGCCGCTGGTATTTTTTTGTATGGCAGGTGGTCTTTACTAAGCGTTGCGGGGCCTTTCCCTAAACGCCCGTGGCGTAGCAGGCCCTTCTTGCTTTAGGTCTCGATGCAATTGGCCAGCTTGCGGAGGCCGCGGGGACTCAACTGGCGTGCTTTGCGGCAAATCACTGCTGAACTACAAGTTGCGGTGGCGGCAAATTTGCAGGGCAAGCAAACGGGATTTGCACACTCAATGCAAGCTGTTGAGAGATTATAGGTGCTTGCCGCAAACAGCCTCCGCAACGAGGCCAAATCCAGAACAGGCCAGCCAGACCTAGGAAAGGATAAGGACCGTTTTGGAAAGAAGGCCCGCCACACCTAAACGAAACAAAAGGCAAGGGGCCCAGAGCAACACAGCACCAGGACCACGACCAGGGAATCAGAAGGCCGCGGCAACAGGATCCGGGGACCAGTAGACCGAAGGGTCGGCGGTTACCATCCTGCCACCTCAAAGCAATGCACCCTTACGAAGAAAGATAGGTGCCACATGGGGTTTTTTCGAAATGGAAATCTTGAAAGTTTGAACACGTCAAATGGAACGCGAGATTGGAGCTGCACGCTTGAAACTTTGGAAGTTTGAAGAATGAAAAGTTGGGTTTCGAAAGTTTAAGGGTTTCGAGATGGAAAACATTCGGAGCTTGAGCTTTTGAACAGGAGTGCAACTTGGAAGATTGAAGCCGCGGCAACGTGCGCTGCATGACGTATGCAAGGTGGAGAATGTGCATGGACTCACGTGGCGCACGGCAGGCTCGAGGGGTGAAACTTCGCAGAGGTTGGAGTTTGAAAGTTTGAGTAGCCCGAGAATGGAGCTTGAAAGCTTGGAGGATTGACAGTTGGAAAGATTGAAAGTTTTAAATGTTGACAGCTTTAACGTCTAAACTTCTCAAATATCGAAATCGAAAGACTGATCTTTTGAAAAGCACGAAAGCCCCAAACTGTGCTGCTGCCTGTAGCGGAAGCACGATTGACAACCCAACACACGCACGGCACTGTAGCAAGAGCATGACTTTTGCAGGCGGCGGCACTGCGGAAAGATTTTCGTGTTTAGCGGGAACCGCGGAGCCGCTGTGGGCACCTGATGGGCGCACTTCGTGCCTCGGAAACCAAGTCCCCTTACACCGATCGCAACAGTAAGAACCCCAATACTTGAGCCCTACAAACTAAACCATCAAGCGAACCACTACAACTACGAATAACACCCTCAAATTGAACCGCTACACCCTTACACTCACACTTCCTAAATCGGAAGCATCTAGATCGGCCTTTGTTTGATCCCGGATTAGGCGGGGTTGGCTCCAGCGAATACGTTTATTGGATTTTGCCGTTCACGGTTGCAGGGTTCAGGGAGTACAGAGTCGCTCTCAACAGGCCGTGGATCAATGCATCCGCGTGCCATATTCTGACGTAGCCAAAGCCAGCCACATTCAGGTAGCCTTGTTTCTCGCTCCTGGGGTCTGGCTTTTGTGACTCTAACCAGAAATGCTTCTTGAGGCGTAGACCAGGGCATCTCCAACCCCCCCCGCGACACCCAAGTTACACGGGTTGTAGATGAGAGCTTGAGGTTGCCGTGACAATTAATTAATCAGGCTGGCTTGGCATATGAACTAGCGGAAGCCTGGTCTTTAGCGTCCTTTTTCGGATTTTATTGGCGAAAAATCGGGCCACCGTAATGAGCCCGAATTGCAATATTGGGTTAAGAACGGCGGTCGTGATGGCTGGATCACGCAAAAACTCGAAGCTTTCTTACTTGCAGGAATTCCCTCATAATCATATCCCCAGGAGCTGGCATGCGAAGCTGACGGGTTGCACAGGCATCGCATGCAGGGCAAACAGCACCAGCTGCCTTAGATCAGACAGCTCGAACGAATCAGGCGTTCAGAATGGATGGGTTCATCACTCAAAGCTTAGGCGTTTCTATCGCAAGCACATATCGGATACGACTCAAGATCTAAAGCCCGATCAAGGATTGTGGAGCTGGAACCTCCTGAACCTAAACGCCGCACCCCTCGATGACGGACAAGAGCGCATGCAGAAAGCATGGCAGCACATCCGACAACTTCCGAAGCTTAATACTAGCATGTGGTGAACAAGGGGAAATAAAGCGAAACACACAGGAAATAAACACGCATCCGTTCACTTCCTTCACTTCTTTGTTTTATTTCCATTTGTTTCCCTTCATTTCGTTACCCTTACCATTTGACCTGTTTCCTGGTTCTTGGATTCTATCATTATTATCTTCCTTTAGGGTCTAAGACGCTTGAACTCAGCGATCCCTGAATCTGTAACCTCGACCCTACACCCTAAACCCAGGTGCAATACGAAGACGCCCCAGCTGACGATGACCAGTGTTTCCTTCAGGGCTCCCGCAAGCTGGAGTGCTTATGGGGCCTTGGAAATCCTGTTGGGTCTTAAGGTTGAGGCAAGGGCTGCGGTCGTGAAGGTTGCGGTGAGGCAATAATAAAAATAATAATAATAATAACAACAATAATGCTAATAATAATAATGGTAATAATAATAATAATCGTCATTTTATCAACAAGGTAACAATCGTATACAGGCGAGCCATGCGGTCCAGGCTGGAGCCCCAGGCCATCCAGGAGAGAATGGAGTTGCCCCAGACTTGGTGCCATGCATCCCTGGTTTTGCCAAAGCCTGGCTTCGGTTCTCTAGGTGGAAGGTGGAGGCTGGGGCCTGGGGATGTACAAGAGCGCTAGGGGGCTTTCAGAGTGTGTCACCTTGCTGGCGGGGGGAAAATCTTCCGGCTTTGAGCCATGCAGGACTCTGGGCTTACCGCTTTTCTGGGACGAAGGCTCTGAGACTTTGGCTTTTGGATTGAGTCTGTAAGATCTCGAACTTGGGATCAAGGTTAACTAATTACGTCTGTACAGTCTTGATATTTCAGATTTGAGGCTCTGGCTTCCAGATTTGGGGTTTGGGAGTTGGGAGAAGCCCTTGCAGTCTCTGAGCCTGAAGCATGTTGCTGGCTTCTGATCATTTGCGGGTTAAGATCGTTTGGATGGCTCTGCCTGTAGGCACCACCTGATCTTCTCGGCCGGCAGCTTATATACTCAAGGGCGCAGGCACAAACCCAGTTCGCCTGGGCAGTGGAATCGATGCAGCGTTGTTGCCAGAAAAAGGCCCTGCGTCATAACATCCATGTGGGTGAGTACCTCAACATTGCCGGCTGTCCAGTCTTGGCCTAAATGGCTCATGCAGTCTGAAGGTTATGCAACGGCACTGCGAAGTTCCACAGTCATTGTGATTGAAGCTACCGGTGCAAGTTGGTTTGTTTGCTTGCTTGCTGTGCACTGAGAGATGTTGGTTGCACCTGTGTCAAGACCTTCAACCTCAAACGCAAAACACCCAAACCCGCAAACGCCTAACACTTCATCCTCAAACTCCGACCTGAAAACCTGACGGTGTAACCCCAATATGCGACCTATCTAAAAGAATCTGGCTCTGAACATCTGGTGCAAAATCTGACATTGAAAAAGCACTGCTGTAAACTGATAACACTCCCCAAGAATTCGGATGACGACAAAACCCCGAGATCTGGAAAGAAGAAGCCGCAAAACCCTGAAGCGTGCTCTCCGAACCCTGAACCCTAAACTCACCGTTACAAGCATGCAGTGCTGGAAACGTGCAGACTTGAAGGACCGTAAACACGAAAGCCTCGGAGCGCCAAAACAAATAATCCTAAACCGCAAATCTCACAGCCCAGCCCCTTAAAAACCTTCTCGCATACCCAATGGATAAAGCCGAACCCAGAGCCACGAAGCTCTATACTCGAGAACGTGAAGGCCCCAAACCCAGCCAGCCTCACACGCAAACCTTAAACCCTAATCCGAAACTCCTAAGAAACTCGAGAAACCTTGAGCAAGTCCTGTGACCCAACATCGAAAAGCGTTTCACACGACTGGTACTGTTGTAGAATACTGCAACACGCTCAAAGCATTGATGAGTGCAAGGGCCTTCCTGCAAGGCTGCAAGACCAAAGACGGAGACAAAGCCAAGCAATCCCAGAGCCAAAGATCATGCACAATGTGCTTCTAGAATTCTAGGAGCGCATCTATTCTGCAGGCAGAGACCCAAAGCGAAGCGATCTTGCCCAGGAGCCCGTAGAGGGTTGCGGCTCCAAGTCCAGTTTTAGAAGTCAGCCGCTACCAAACCGCATAAGGAAATGTGGCTGTCACGAGATGAAACCTTGTGATGCCCATTTTCGGCAACAGTGGGCCAAGCACGTTTCCACCCTGACCTCATTTCTTTCCGTTTGCAGTTCCACTTGGGATTTCCCCTGTCCGTTTGCACTCCGCTTACTCTTCCGTTTGAGGTTCCACTCCCGCGGGAACTTCCCGTTGCGGCTTCCGCTGTGGCTTCCGCTCAAAGTCCGAACATGCTTACCGGGAAAATCTTACACTCCAAACTGGGGCCCAATCGCCGTACAAAGATTCCCTATGCAAGCAACATCAAGCAACTGTAGCCAGCTACAGGTAGCACGGACCAAATTGTGCAGGTTCCGAAACCGACGCCTGAACGCGACAGGGGACCGGAACCTGGAATCCAAAGCGGAACCCGAAACGGAAAGCCCATAACCCAAACCCGGAAGTGGGAGCGGTAAATCCGGCACCTTCCAGACATGAACCAGAAAGCCCGGCAGCACGAGAACCCAAAGCGGAAACGGAAGTGGTAAATCCGGGACCCTCCAGAAATGGAAAAAACGTGGAAATGTTTACCACTTTTTTACCGGTTCTCAGCCCAAACCCCAGGCTTTGAGCTCAGAGCCGCAAAAATAATTGCAACCATACTGTGCTTTCCACTTTTTCCCAGGTTCCGGTTTCGGAATCCGTGTCGGATACGCCGTCGGTTTCGGAACCCGCCGGAGCCCCATCCAGGGTCAATGAGCCGGGCGGGGAAGGATGGCGGAGGTAAGGTGTTGTGGACCGCAGAGTCAGCATGGTTTACAAACCTACAAAGAATCGGAAGACACTACAAGGGAAAGCGGAAAGCTGAGCGGAAGCGACATCGGAGGTCCGAACGGAACTGAAATAACAAGTGGAGGAACGGAAGCGAACACGGAAGGCTGCGGAGAAGCAGAAAGCAAAACGGAAACAGAAATGGAAGATTAAATATGCCTTGTTGCCCAAGTGAGCATCATGATGATATCCTTGCAGACCCGACCCGACGACTCTCGAGCTGCTCGCAACGACCCTTGTGTCGGGAAATGCCGTGGCTGCCCAGTTTCTGGCAAACACTTCGGGACCCTCCTTGCCAGGGGCCTTCGATCTGGTCAGCGTTTCATAAAGATCCCAAATAGCATTTCAACCGTCCCACACTCCATGAGCGCGACCAGTCTTCTGGTCGAACGCCGCATACAAGATTTGCCCTGAACCCTGGTTTAACTTACATGCGAAACAAAAGCATAAACAAAGCCAGGGGCGATGCTTCACATTGAAGATGGATACTGACGGTACTGACGACTAATATCCACGTGTTCTGAAGCCCAGTCACACTCACGAAGAGGGTGTACACAAGCCACAGCGAGAACGGAGGCGTTTCCCAGAGAGGCATCTCGAGGTGCTGGCAGGGAGCAATTGCAAAAACGCTTCAAGATGTAGGGTCTGCGGCTTTACCCAAGCGTGAATCTGCTTAAACAGCAATTAGGCATTCAAGATGGAGGGTTAAATTCTGCACAACAGCGAATCATTGAAGTTACCGTATCCTGCACCCTGAATCCACAAATCCTGAACACCTAGACCTCGATGATACTACTACTCCTTCTCCTCCTCCGCTACTACTCCTCCTCCTCCTGCTGCTGCTGCTCCTGCTCCTGCTCCTGCTGCTGCCACTGCTACTGCTACTGCTACCACTACTCTACTTAGTAGTGTTGTGACGACGACGACGACGACGACTGCCGCATGGTTTGGTGTCCAGGCCTTTTAAGGTTTGCAAGGCAGGTCAAGCTACGACAGGATTCTTGAGGATGCCCAGTCTTCTAGAGACCCTGTTCTACACACACTGGGGGCTTCCGCCTAACACTTCGAACCGAAACTGCGCAACTCCAGACTTGAAGCTCGGTGCCCTAACCGTCAGAACCGCGAACTCATACCGAACCAAACAAACAGATCCATGAAATACCGACAAGACCGACAACGTCCTTTGCAAGTGCTACCAAGAACAAGGGGCAAGCTTGTAAACCCTTCTGTGCCCTGCATGGCCCTGCATTCACATGAGCTAGAAAAGTAGAACCTGGCTTTTGGAGCGGAGAGTTTTGCTCCACCAGGACAGGAGCAAAGAAGCAGGCCTGTATCCACTGTAGCATTGGCACCACTGTATAAGTGAAGCAGCGCCATTCGATTGTCAGCATTGTGAGGACGAAGGGCAAGAACCCAAGCCACAGCCAGCCTGCTGGCCGGGCGTTTGGTTCAGGCAATACGACAGTGTAGCAATAGGCTAGTTTACACGAGGAAAACACGAAAAGGAAGTGTGAGCCAAACCGCATCTTCTCCCAACGTTACTTTCTATGGCCCTGATTCCGATATAATTTGATATAATGCCCTAAAACAAGCGTTGCACCGATTCAAGGCCTCAGGACAAAGAAGGGTTGTTGGAAGTTAAGGAACCAATGTATCAAGGCTGTTGGTTGATAGCCCGTTTCGGTTCACGGATAATCGGCAGAGTCACTCCGCTGCAAACTGGCTGTTGAACCACAGCTTGGATACTCCCGACACCAGGGCAACAAAGCCTAAACTGGGAAGCCTCCGGCTACGCATGCCAGCCCCACCCCCCCGCCCGCCGAAGCATACAAAAAGAATGCCAGACCTCGAACCTGCAAGCCCAGAACGAAACAAACTGGTGCAAGAGTCACAAAGCGGCCAAATCCCTTCCTGCCGACGCCTCGAACTACACCGTAAGACCCCCACCACTGACCCGATGGTGAGCTGAACACTAAACGGCCTGGGTAGACGGACTTCCCGTCTGTCTCACAATGCCTGACGGGCGGGCTCTGCGTCAGGGCTTCGGATTTGGTGTGTATGGTTCAAGTTCAAGGAGCTTAGGCTGCAGCTGTGGAAAGGTTGGGCATTGAACATGAAGGCTTAAAATCTGCGAATTGGAAACAAGTCTATTAGGCTTCGCACTTCAGGGTCTCTGCACTAGGACCTAGGAACGTTGAACTTAAAGAAAGGCCCTCTTCAGCCCGAAATCCTGAACCCCAAATTCCTCCTTAAATCCGGAACTCCAGGCCTAAATCCCAATTCTCCAAATCTTTAAGCCTCAGTCCGTACCCTCGAACCTGAAGCCCCTCGCTGCAGAGTCAAGTGTTGGGCTTTACAGCAGAACTCTAAAGCAGGGCCTAAACTGCTGCCTGGGGTCTAATCAGGGCCCTCTTTTCGAGTTGGGTGGCTCGGGACGGTCTGCAACAAACGGCAAAGAAGTGTAGAATTTCCCGAAAGCTGTCACGGCTACTCAGCGCCCAGTCACGTGAAGGGTCTGGCTACACATGGAAGGGTGACGGCGAAGACAATGTGTACAACAGTGGCGGGCCATAACCTCAGTTTTACAACTGCTGCTATTGCCATGCGAGCTTGCATATGAGAAACCTCAAGTCCTTTCGGCATTGTCACTGTAGCTGATACTAACCTTACAAAACGCCCAACTATCTTGTTCATTGTTCTCAAGCTAGGGCGCACATTTACTAGGAACAGAGTTCGGACTTCAAACCGAAGAACCCTGAAGCCAACAACCCCACCAAGAAAGAGCTAAAGACCAAGAATCCTAAATCCGTGTAGCCGTGGGCGCTTGAACTTAAATCACAGCCTCTCCAAAGCTTTAGGGTAGGGATCTTGCAAGGCTCTGCGCTGTGGTCCTATACCGCTGTACTTCAAGCTGCTCGGAGCGATGCCCAGGGGCGAGGCCTTCGAAGGCCTCCGTGAGGCCCTCTCGAGACTCCAAGCAGTTCACAATTCTGAATGGAACCCAAGCTTTTCGCCCCGCGACAGCCGCACGGCCGGCCCAGCCGTGTCGAACATCGTCAGCTTTCGGCCCACGCGCGAATCGTTCTTCTCCCGAACGATCTGCTGCACTTCCGCAGGCACACCGAACCTGAGAGCCGTTTGTGCGTGTAAGGGTTTGAAAGCTTGAAGTACCTTTCTGCTTAATC